TACTAAGTGCCAGACACTGTCTCCTACTCTATTCAACTCACATGTGGATTTCCACTCAACTTTTGATTATGACAAATATCAAAACCTTGACTCAACAAGTATTAAAATTTTGCCATATTTGGTTCTTCCATACCTACCTACCTACACAACTATTTATCTATCATCTATATGAATGTTTGAAATGACGTAATGGACATCTAGAGATTTATTTCATCCTGCATCTCCTTAAGGCTAAGGTTATTTTCTTAGACAAGCACAAACCATTATCACACATAAGAAAATTAACAGTAGCTCCCTATTTATATCCAAATTTAATAGACAGTCCAGCTTAAAATGTCCTTGTCTCCAATGGCTTTTATAGCTATTGCTTTGGTTTTTGAACTAAGAACCAATCAAGTTTCACTCACCGTATTTGGTTTAGCAAGTTAAACAAGAACAGCCCCTCAAACTTTGGTATGTTTGTTTGGTTTTAGAACATTGACTTTCAGGAGAGTCCAGGCCAAAGTTTGGAGAATAACTCATATTCTGGACTTCTCTGATTGTTTTCTTGTCGTATCATTTAACTTCCTCCCTGCCCCTGATTTTTCCCATAAACTGGAAGTTGGGTTGAAAGGCTGGATTGGAATTATGTTAAAAGACTTTTAGCAGGGATAATTCACAGGTGATCTGTACCTCATATCACTTCAATCAGGAGACAGAATGCCAGGTTGTCCAACAACAGTGACCCTAAATATGATCATTTGGCTAACATGACAACCCACAGGTCTTTCCATGGTAAAGGTGGGATTCCCTTAAAAATCTGGTTGGCAGGGTGTGTGGATCACCTGTTCTGTACTTAATGGAATACACATCCATTGACACTATTTATTTGCAAAATGGTGATTTTCTAAATTTTTGTTTCTTCTTCATTTATTTGCAGGCATGTCTCTGTAAACGAGAGCTTTTCCTTATCTATTGGGGATGAATTTGAAAAAGGCCGGGTAAGTGCCTCTTTTTCTTTGGTTGCTAACTTTCAGAATGAAGAGTTGCTACAGTCACTTTCAATGGTGGCAAATCAGTTGTTTTCTGTCTCTCTCTCTTTGAACAGTGTTATGATGTGTGGCTTTTTATTTTTTCAATTTTTTAAAATTTGCATTCTTTTTTATTGAAGTATAATCAGTTTACAATGTTCTGTCAGTTTCTGGTGGACAGCATAATGTTTCAGTCATCCATATACATACAGATATTCCTTTTCATATTCTTATTCAATTTTTATAATCAACTGCAGTCACTTTTGGTGCTCAAACTGTCCCAAACCTGGCCAGAGGAAGCTCCTTCAAGCTGGCTGGCTCCTGTGTCCTTTGAGATGTCCCCACCAGCTTGAGCACTTCCCTGCTTCTTGATGCAAAAAACGTCCTGGGCTCACTTTGTTCTTTCCACACCCCAGATCCAGAATCAGCCACTTCTCCAAGGAGTCCTGGGACCTTTCACTGGAGAATAGTATTTAAAATCCAATATCTCTGTATTTGTGAGCTCATGACCATTGGAGTGTCATTGCCTGTAAGTTCTTTCAGTGGCTTAAGCTAAGAAAAACATTTAAATCATGAGTTCCTACTGATACTCTCAGTTCAAATTTAATGTTACACGGCTTTTCTTAACTTCTTAAATTTTATATTTGTACTTCTTTTCTTTTACATAGAAAAATACCGGTTTCTAATAACATTTAATAGTTTGCTATAGTTTACAATATACATAAAGTACGTTTACAATGGAAATAGCTGAAAATTACTTGGTGAATTTTAGATTTTTTTTTTGGAGGGGCATTTCTTTTTGTCCTCAGAATATAGTCAATTAAAGCTGAACAGTAAGCGCATTATGTTTCAAAGTCACTTGAAAATTATTTTCTATATATATGATATATATCCATATACTATATAGTTAATTTGTTTTAGTTTGATTTCAAAATTGGTTTGCTTTTATTTTCTTTATCAGTAAATTTCATTTTTGAATAGGTAAAAACATGTTTGAGCATTTATACAGCTCACATTCAAAATTATGTAAAAACACAAGGAAGTCCACTATATTCATCCGTATCTCCTCCATCTGCCGCCCTCCCTCCCCACCGACAGGTAACCAATTGCTTTATTTCTGTTGGTTTGCTACTTTCTATCTGTATGTATATCTTGCTCTCCCTTCTCACACAAAAGAAAGCGGTCATTGCTCCCTAACAATACTCCTGCGAATCCACGTACATTTGTACGTACCTTCCTTTTTCGCTCCTGCATACTTCATTCTGCAGTCCTGCACTTCTGTTGCTATTTAATCTCAAAACAAGCACTGCTGCTTGTATTATCTTACTGGTGGCCCCTTTGGCCTTTGTTCGTTCCCTTTGGGTCCTCACCGGCATCTGAGGTTTTGACCTCTGCCAAGGCTTTCCAGCTGGCTGGAGGCAGAGAACCCAGGTACAGTCGATTCCTGGAAGATTCATCCCAACCACCCACTTGCTTTTGGTGGAGATGAGGGTAACTAGGAATGAAACTCTGCTGTTTTCCCTCAGATCCTGCCCCAGGCACCCTGGATACTTTCCTGTTTCGATGACAGCTGGGGAGTAATGAACTAGGGAAGGGTGGGGCTTTGACACCGCTTGGTCTAACTTCCGGTTTCCTCCCTTCCTCTTCTCTAGTAGGTACAAATGGGAATCTTTTCCATCTCGTGCTAACTTAAAGGCAATTTTTTAAAAAAAGAAAGAAAAAGGAACACAGGATTTTGCTAACATCCAAGACATACCCTTTGGGTGAAGAAAGATTATACTGCACACTGAGGCTGGAGCTTCTAAATTCAAAAATTAATATTTCAGATTTCTCAGAATAGCTTTAAATATATAGCATATGTGATTTTTTTCAGCATTTGTTTTTCTTTCTTTTTAAATTTTTTAATTTTAACTTTTTGTGACAGGGAGGCAACTAGGTTTATTTGTATTTAATAGTGCTGAGGATCAAACCCAGGACCTTGTACACACTAAGCACACCTTCTACCACTGAGTTATACTCTCCCCCCATATGTGAATTCTCTTGATGCTGACTTCTTTCCATGCTTGTCTCCAAAGCTCATAACACATTCATTCTCTTGTTTTCTTTTTACGTTGTGTTCCATTCATCAGTCTCCCAGGAGCCAGGTTCTAACCTTTTTCTTTTTTTTTTTTTCATTTGAGATTAACAAATGTTCTTTCTTGCTGGGTAATTCTTTGGCAAATAGAGTCTTTCAATGTTCATTTCTTAAGTCATTTGTCCTATTTCTACCCTACTTATTATTTTTTAAAAGGTGGATAAACCGTTTTGATTAAATTGGAAGGGTTTTGCCTTTCCCTATGATTTTCTTCTGATCTTTGAGAGTGATATGGCAAAAGGAACCTAATGCAATGAAGTCTGTTTATCACCTAATCCTGGCACACTCGGTGCATGACTCGCCTGGCTTGTGAATTACTTATGCTTTAGCACACACAGGATAAATTAACCGAGCTCTGAATACATCACCTGTTAGTCCTTGGAGGATAACTGTCTCCTAGCGATCTGGAGCCCTGTGTGAGGGTCAGCATCCTTTTTTTAGCCTTTGGAGTCAGGAACAGGGCAAAGCTGTGATAATTTCCTGGCCAGAAAGGAAGCGAAAGGGGTCAGGAGCAAGGAAAAGGAGCAGGTATGGGAAAAGAAGATAGAAGAGTAGATGTGAGAGCAAGTGGGGAAGAGAGAGAGGAGAGAATGGGAGAAAGGGAGAAGAATAGGAGGTAACACAGGGAAAAAGCAGAAAGGGTCAACATTATGTAACAGACATGTTTGGTAGAAAGAACTCTCCTCTGCGGGTTGGAAAGCATGTTTTCCAGTTCTGTATCTTCTGCACAGGGTCCAGTTCCAAAACTCTGTGGAATTGGGTTATAAATAAACTTTGGGAAACACAGTGCCTCTTTTTAATACTTATGAGAGCTTACCATGTGCCAGGCACTTATTCAAGCCCTTAGAGTGGTTTATGCCATTTAATAATTACCCCAAATCTAGGAATCAGGTTTTATAATTCTCTTACTTATACTGATGTTGAAACTGAGGCAGGGATGCTAAATGACTTACCCAAGGTCCCACTGAGCAAATGACCGTAGCAGTCACTGCATTGCTGCTGTAGGAGGGAAGAAAAAATCTGACACCATATCAGAGCTGTTTCTTTGGCTTACGCAGAAATCCTTGCTCTGACAAGGACCCTACTACTCACTGAAGGCATACGAGCAAATACATACACAGACTGTTGTAACACATTCTTCGTGGTGCATGCTCACGGAACAATCTGGAAAGAAAGGGGGCTCCTCACTTCAAACAATAAAGACAAAACATGCTTCTGAGATCCTGTCACTGTGAGAAGCAGTCCATAAGCCCACACAAGTGGCCATAATGCGCTGCCCAGGCCACCAAAAAAGGCGAAACTCATGTAATAACAAGCAACTGGTTAGCTGACCAAGCTGCAAAGAGAACAGCAAAGGAAGGCAATTATCACGTCTTGATAGGGTCACTTCTCCCATAGACGGACTTGTCAAAATACCAGCTGGTGTATTCAGAAATGGGCAAGCAGAGGGCCAAAGACTGGGGTTTCACTCTTGATCACAGCTCACCTGGCTGGAGATACAGTGCATGAGAAATTGTCTTGACCCCTGAGACACTGTGGACACTGTGCTGCAGCACATACATAACAGTACCCATTATGGGAGAGATGCCACCTTACAGTGGATTCAAAAGCATACAACAGGGTCCAACCTACAAAAGACCATTCAGCGAGTAGCTCAGAATTGAATGATTTGTGCTTAAAAAAGACCCAGACTACCGTCAGACCTCTCCAGATGGGGGCCCAACACAGAGGAACCTGCCTCACCAAGGACTGGCAAATAGACTTTACTCAAATGCCTCGAGCCGCGGGAAATTTCAGATGTCTGCCAGTGTTTATGGACACTTTTTCAGGATGGGAGGAAGCATATCACCCCAGACAGAAAAAGCTCTGAAGTGGTTAAAGCCCTCCTTAAGGAAACGATCCTCTGATTTGGACTGTCCAGGACCTTTCAAAGTGACAACAGCTCTGCTTTCATCTCTAGCATAACCCAGCAAGTGTCTAAAATAGTGCAAATTGACTGGAAACTACATTCATCCTGGAGACCATAATCGACAGGAAAAACCGAGAAAATGAATCATACATTAAAAAGGAACATTGCTAAAACATGTCAAGAGACTAATTTAACTTGGGACAGGGCCTTGCCAGTTGCCCTGCTACGGATCAGAGTGGCTCCCAGAAGCAGAAGTAAATTAAGTCCCTTTGAAATACTGTATGGTAGGCTATTCCAGGTGTTTCTGCAGGCAGGAGAATCTAAATGCTCTAAAAGGCCTAGAAGTTGCCAATTATATTACAACTTTGAGCGCTATACTAACCTCTCTTCATGAGTTTGCCCCTAAGAGGTCTGCCTATCCAACCAAAGTAGCCTTACATCCTTTCCAACCTGGAGCCTGAGTCCTGCGTAAAACCTGGAGGGAACAACGGCCTGAGCATCAGCTGACTGCAAGGTGGACAGGACCACACGTGGTATTACTCACCACGCACTCGTCTGTCAGGTTAGCTGGGGTAGAGCAATGGATTCATCACACTCGGATTAAAGCAGCACCACCATCAACAGAATCAAAAAATGACCCAACTCCTGACAGGCCTGAAGAGCGATGGGTTTGTGAACCCTTGGAAGACTTAGGTTGCTCTTTAAAAAAAGATAAGTATTGAGATGATAATTTCAGCGTAGCTGGAAAAATGCCAACCTATTTGTTTACTCTTGTCCAAATAAAGAGCACAGGAATCTAGTATGATACAGTAAGAAAGTTAACATTAATAGATATGTATTGGGAACTGGAACCCAAAACCCCGAATTCAGTGAAGTCCTACGGGGTTTCATCAGGTTCAAACAGTTGCGGATAAAGAAGGAAAGAGGACTGTATCAGTGACTAAAGATTCTAAGGAATGTTCCCCGTACAAGGCTGATCAATTCCATTCCATGATCACCCCCTCATCACCTCTGTTCAGCAGGAAGTAGCCAGAATGGTTGTCCCCCCTTTTCCCACAAGACTGTGAAATGGACATTGACAGTGGGGAATTGTAATAGGGAAGAACAAACCGGACTCCATATTAGGTCTGTTCCTTTGGTTCTAACCCTCTGCTCTGTTTCCTGTGCTCAGTCGTGCTGGTTCTGCACCTTTTGTAAAAAAAAAAAATGTTGTCTATAGCCTGAAATATACAGGACAGCCTACTCTCAAGGCTCTGACCTTGAAAGGTGTAACACTTATCCATTCATACAAAGATAAAACGCAGAATAGAAAATAACATTTGTCTTATTAGAGATTTACAGGGACATCGTGACCTGACCTATGTGGACGGCTGCAAGAACAAAGGATTCCAACACCAAGGAGTTTGCAACAATCAGCCACATCCTGTCCCTCTTTTTTAGTATAAAAGGAGCCTGAACTCTGACTTGGGTAAGATGGTTCTCTAGGACATTAATTAGTCTCCCATCTTCTCGGTCTGTTGGCTTCCTGAATAAGTTGTTAGTCGAAAGCCCAACAATCTTGCTGGCAGAACCCTGGTAGTTGGGTTGGCTGTATGCCCACCCTCCACCCCAGTCCCCGGGGATTTAGACCTAAACCTGTCTTGCCTCTGGCATTCTCCTTCCTGTTATACACTCTCCCAGCTTCCCTTGTAGTTAGCCATGTGACCCAGTTCTGATCAAAGACGTTTAGGGAGAAGTCCACTGAGGGCTTCTGAGAAAGCTTTTTCTCTGTGATAAGAGTAAAGCATCTTTCTGTTTGCCTTTTCCTTTCTTCTTGCTTGGGATGATAGTATGACAACACCATACTTGTGGCTGAGGCAGCTATCTTGTAACCAAGAGTCAACTAGCCCAAGGAAGGACATCAATATGCTGAGGATGGAGACTGGAAAGGGGAAAGGGTCCTGGGCTTTGAGGACATTGCTGGATTGCTTCCATAAACCTGGGTTCACCTCCCTGTACTCTTCCTGTTATGTGAAATAATCAAACGCCACCACTGCTGCTAGAGGTCTGTCAGATTTAGCCAAACTTGACACTGCACGTGTATCAACTGTTATGGGAACAGAAGTGGATTTTGGACACAGGAAGCCTGTCACTGTTTCAGGCTGATAAGTTGCTATTCAGCATTGCAGAATTCTGTCTGCTTCTGCAACTCTGACCCTCAACCCTGACTCCACATACACAGTTGTTGCCCTTAACTGAGGAGCAAAGGGAAACTAGCAAATTGTAGGAAAATAGACACTGATGAGATTTTTAACTACTGAAAATATAACTTATTCTACTTTACCACCTAAAACCAGAACAGTAATGATACATATTGCAAGTAAACTTTGGATCATACTACAAAGATTCCTCTCCAAGGACCCATATTCCACATTCCCCGGCACAGTTCTCACACACTCACTCACTCACTGGCCTTTGTGCTTCTACTCAAGGAGTTAGTTTGTGCTAAAACTGTTTACTCCACCTCCAACACACACACTGTCTTATGAATCTTGATAGTCCCAGCACCTAGAAGAGTGCCCAGTGCCTAGTAGGAACTCGATAAATGCTGTGGTATGGATTTTAAATTGCAGAATACCCTCTCTGTTGAAAAGCTATCAAAGTCACATGCATCTCAGGAATTACAAAAACATATTAATATTTTCCTGGTCCTGAGAGATGAGGTCTTAATAATTATTAAAAAGCTAAAGAAATGCAAATTGCTGAGAAGAAGACATTCGTTAAGTTGCTAATAGGGAGCAGGTGTTTAACAATTAAAGCGAACAGGTTGGCTTTTTAAAAGCTCCACATTCTGGGAAATGTAAATCGCGGTTAAAGTAAAATAAGGCATTTCCATTACATTGTTCTTGGGGTAAGAAGAATTTAGTGAATGTTTCAAATACGTTTGGTTTACAACCAGAGAGCAATGAGCACTGGAAGAACTAGAACTCCATTGTTAAATGCTTCATTTCTGCCATAAATTTAGTGATACCTGGGCCAGATCATGGCTTCCAAATACAATGAGTTACATTCACAGGGAAGTCTTGCTCCTTGACTTCAGTGTTAAATGGAATTTCACTTAATGCAGAAATGCTTTCCCTCTCAAAGATGCTACTGAAACACAACGGCGCTCACCACAGTGGAGACCAACATAGGGCGATACCTGCAATTTAAGTTGCTTCTGAATGAACTGTCTCGAGATGGATGCAAAGGACTCAGGAAAAGAAGTGGTAACCTAGTTATTGAAGTGCTGTATATTTTTTGCCACCCTTTGATTTTACTTGTAGGAAAGAGTTGAGGAATTTAAAGGCAAAGACTTCCATGTCCTTTTCAAAATCATTATGGCTCAGGTATTTAAAAGTACTAAAAGAAATAATGTTCATAATTTCCACTCAATAGGCTCTTCAAAATCATAGGAAAACCCTAAAAGAAAGTAATAATTGCAACAACAAGACTTTGTGTTTGTTTAACCTGACTCTTCCATTTTCTCTAATTGTAGCTACAGATAAACATTTTCATATACTTCCTCAGTTGCAATTATTTTAAATGGCCTTTATACCTAGCATAATGAGAAATTATAATGAACTGAAAGCTCATTAGTAATGTATTCACGAGGAATCAAAATAGTCTCAGAATTCAACAACAACCTAAATATAAATTTTTGTTTATCATAATATGATACTCATTTATAAAGTAGTGAACTAATAACCAAAATATGGTAGAGTATTGGGAGTTCCTCTAATTTGTGTTGTCTAGATGTTTAAGCAATATCAACTCTTAACCTTTATTTTGTTATTGTGATATCGTCTCCCAACCTGGCATACAATTTGGGAGGGGGGGGTGCCTAGGGAGATACATATATATATGCACAATGAAAATCATCAATAAACAATCTGTAATAAAAAATAGAAAAGAGCTTTATTTGAGCCAGACTAAGAACTATAGCCCAGAAGCCATCTTCCCAGATTATTCCGTGAAACTGCTCTGGAGAAGCAGGGTTTTCAGCACAGTTTTCTATTTTGTCAGAAAAAAGAACATTGAACAAGTCAGGAATACACTTCTTCAAGGTTTCAAAAAATAAACAGACCAGCACGTACACAGTGAGTCAGTACGGACTTGACACCTGGGAAGGGGGTTTTATCATCGAGGAAGAATCAGCACTGACTTCCCGGGAGGAGGGGCATTTAATCTTTCTTTTTAACATGGACATTTGTTACTTCTGGTCAATGCTCCCTTTTCTTTAATAATTAAAGCAGACGTACCATGTAGTTTGATAGGCCACACACAGGCTGTTTCAGTTAGCAAAAAATTCAAGTTAACTTATGTGTAAGCCAGAATGACTTCTCCCTACCTCAATATGTGAATATTTCTTCTTTCTATCTATCTTTCTCTCTCTCTCTCTCTGTCTATCCATCCATCTCTTCCTTAAAAAACTAAAAACAAACATGCCATATGGTCCAGCAATTCCACTCTTGGGCATTTATCCAGAGAAAACTCCAATTTGAAAAAAATACATGCACCCCAGTGTTTACAGCAGCACTATTTATAATAGCCAAGACACGGAAACAACCTAAATGTCCATCAACAGATGACTGGATAAAGAAGTTGTGGTATATTTATACAATGGAATACTACTCAGTGATAAAAAAGAGAATAAAATAATGCCATTTGAGGCAACATGGATGGACCTAGAAGTTGTTACACTAAGTGAAGTAAGCCAGAAAATAAAGACAAATACCATATGTGGAATCTTAAAAAAAAGTCTTAAGTGAACTTCTTTACAAAATAGAAGCAGACTCACAGACATAGAAAACAAACAACGTTATTGTGGGGAAAATGAGGGTGTGGAGGGATAAATTGGGAGTTCAGGATCTGCAGATACTAACTACCATATATAAAATAGATAAACAACAAGTTTCTACTGTATCGCACAGGGAACACTTGTAGTAACCTATAATGAAAAAGAATATGAAAAGGAATATATATACATATAAATGAACCACTATCTTGTACACCAGAAATGAACACAACACTGTAAACCGACTATACTTCAATTAAAAAGGTAATCAAAAAAAATACATACATACATATATATATACACACAACAAAAATAGTTGATTAAGAGAATCCTACAAGATTAAAAACAACAACAAACAATAAAAATAGTTTTTCCTTCAAGCACCTAGCATACACTTGTTCAGTTTTCACCTTCCTGATTAGCCATAATCTCCATGAGGGTCAGGACTGTGATTTACTGCTGAGTCCCCAGCACGCAGCCCAGCATCTGATACGTCCTGAATGACTACAGCTGTGAGATGTTAACTGCACAGAGGTTTCCTGTCCTTCCTGTGGTTCCCAGCAGAGCTCAGACCTTCCTTGTGACAGTTCTAATACAGCTCCAGGATGGTGGCTCCCGCTCTTCAGCTCTCTTCTCCTAACTGTTTTTCATATTCGAGTGGGAACAAGGTGAGACAGGAGGAGAGGGGGCAGGGCACAACCACTGAAAGAGTGACACAGAGACTAGCACCAAGATGGTGGAAGATTCAACTCCCAGTAGACCTTGAGCTTCATTATACGCTCATTGTAATACAATAGCATGCTAAATGGCACTCTCACAGGTGCCATGAAGGTTCCAAGGCTGACCATCAAAGGTCAGAAAGTGGGCAGTGGCCCAGTTCTTGGGAATTTCAGCCCCTTCCCCAAAGTAGCTGGAATAATCCTCCCACTAGTTAGCATACATAGTTACCGAGCCCATAAAAACTAACAACCCCATATCTCACAGCCTTTCTCTTGCCTTTTGAGATGGCCCATACTCTGTCTATGGAGTGTGCATCTCTCTGAATAAATCCACCCTTACTCAACTATGGCTCACTCTTGAATTCTTTCCTGCATGAAGCCAAAGACCCTTACTTGGCGGGGTGCATCCCAGGGACTTGCCCAAGACCTGGCACATGGCTATCCTCTTGTGCCCCATTTTTCCTGGATCAAAAGCATCAGGGAAATGAAAGTGTTTTCTCCTGTGAGAAAGGAGAGGGCACTCTGTTGGTTGGGTTTGAATGTGAACTGATGCAAGGATATGTCCTGAATGTTGGTTTCAAGCTTAATTCCTTGCTCTATGACTTGCCTCCAGTGCTTAAACAGGAGTGCTGACAGTTCCATCCAGTTCTGGGATGGCTTAGTATGCTTCTGTTAATTAGGATTTTATTTTATTAAGAATAGACAGGACAGGCCCCAGGAAGCCACATAAAAGCAGCAGATGGATTCTCTATGAAATTCTAGCTGCATTATTTGACTTCATTGCTGCTTTGTTTCACTAATATTCCTTTTATCTTAAGTACAGCTTCTAAATTTCATT